TCAAACCAAGTTGAATAGTGATGTTGCGCGTTTTACCACCTTACCGTGGGTGGTAAAACGAGCAACATCACTATTCAACTCATTTTGCAGCCATGTTGCAAATATTTTGCGCTTTTTGTTGGCCGTTTTACCGTACCTTAGGTAGCCTATGAGAACATCATTAAATGAATAGGTGATCAAAAGTCTTTGTGAATCATGAATCTGGAAGAAAATCATGAGTCATCGAGGTAAAAAACAACAGGAATCATGAATATCAAGATTCAAATGATTTTGCTTCTACCCCCGAAAATATTGTAAATAGTAACACTTTTTTATTCCAGTGAAATAATTGTCTTAAAGTTACGCTGATATGGATTCTCGCGATACAACATTCGGGTACTCAAAGTGTTATAAGGGGAGGGTTACAATTGTTTGGGCACACATTTTTGGAGGGGGCAGGATTTTTGGGCTGTTAACCTGAGAGGGACTAAAATTTTTGGGCCCTCACTTTTGAAATAATACCGGCCCTCCCCCCCTCAATAGTTAATGACCGCTCCCTAAGGTTTCTCCTTGTACGTACGCCGGTTCTCCGTACACATTGTACTCTTTGCAGGTAGAAACGAAAACAACAGTCCGCGGAAAAATTGTGTTTTTTCACCAATGTTTATTTACATTTTCATCTTGACGTTAGGCTGAACAAAAATTGCTCAACAACTACCAACATGTGCAAAAGACTAGTATAGACTGAAGCATTGCTTCCACTGCCATTTTTGGAACAAAAATCGTGCCTTAAAATTATAACTTTTTTCTGTGAGGACCAAAATGTTCAAAGGCCTCTGGCCTATACAAATACAACGCAACAACATATAATACTATCAGATACTGTATATATACATTAATAAAAAAGTTTATTGCGGCCACTGACTCAGGAGGGCCTCCCTGGGGTTTACGGGAACAACAGAACATGACCGGAGGTCAATTTGTTCGTGACAAAAGGACTGGAGACAAGTTTGCTTCACGAGTCAACGCCCTTTGAATTCATTGGTTCGACTTGACCATCATTACGATTCTTTGCTATGGAAACTCTGGAAACTTGGCAAAAACGAATTTCTTGGGACATTATTAATTAGTTTTTGGGAACAAGGGATAAACTTTAAATTATTAAGGGCAAAATTTAATGACCCCCCCACCCCCCACCCACCCAGGGAGGCTCTCACTTTGGGCAGTCCAAAACCCGGTCAGTACAAAACACGGTCTGCGGACTGGGTACAAACATGGACTAGGTCGACTGAAACGCAGATTACGAACTTTGTTTTAAAAGCTTGGCTAGGAAAGGTAAAAATGAGATCTGAAGATTACGGAATATGTAGTAATCACAGCAAGAGGATTTAAGTTGTTTACAGTATTTTCCTTGAGAGGGTCCTTCTATTAACCTTAAGGTGTGGCTTCGTTATTAATACAGGGGTATTGACCCATGGTTAACTTTTTGTCATAACGTTTTCGGTTTTAACGAGATGGGGTCGAATTTTTGACATGAACTAAAGCTATCATTCAGCAATAACGGGAAATAATTCGATTTTACTGGTGGCAAATAATTTCAATGAAATTAGCCCTTGACTGGAACGTAAGTTTCAAAGGAAATGGCGTCTAGTGAAAAATTTTATTCCTGATATTTTTGACTGAAAATTCGAATATCAGCTTTTATTGATGCAGTAAGTATGCCAAATAAAGTCAAAAATATCAGCAAAATTTTTTACTAGACGCGATCTTCTTCGAAACGTAGGGTCCAGTTAAGCGCTAATTTCATAAAAATCAATTCCCGCCAGTAAAATCGAATTATTTCCCGTTATTTCTGAATGATTATAGCTTTAGTTCATGTCAAAAATTCGACCCCATCGCGTTTAAACCGGTGAGTTATGACGAAAAGTTAGCCATAGCTCAATGCCCTTGTATTGATAACGGAGCCACGCCTTAAGGTTAATGGAGGGACCCTCTCAAGTAAAATACTGTAAACAACTTAAATCCCCGTGTTGTGATTACTACATGTTCCGTAATCTTCAAATCTCATTTTTACCTTTTCTGCGTTTTAGTCGACCCAGTCCGTGTTTGTACCCAGTCCGCAGTCCGTGTTTTGTACAGAATTGTTTTCCTTTTTTCCTTATCTGTTCCTTTGATGTATGTATTTAAGGAATGGATACTTTTATTTCTTATCTGGTGATAGAGAAGTGAATCATCTTGCTATGGGTACAATTCTCGTGTCAAGTGTACACACAAGAACGTAAAAAATATCTTAGTGTGGGTGAACCGTGAATATCCAGTATCGTGGGATATTCACGGTTCTCCTACACTAAGATATTTTTACGTTCTTGTGTGTACACTTGACACGAGAATTGTACGCATAGCTGGGGATGATTCACTTCACCGATCAACAGATAAGAAATAAGGAGTATCTATTCGTTTAATATAAGGATTAAAGGAATTAGATAAGGAAATAAGGAAAACAATTCTGCCACAAGTCGGCCTAACCAAAACACACACTAGATCTCATGACTATGATCTTTAGTTTCTGCGTCAGCCTGGCAACCTCTTCAGTGGGGAAGTGAGACTCAGGCATATTTCCAACGGCATCAATCGAGTGTGTTGTTACTCCAAGAGCTTTGAACGCATCTTTGGCGAGCTTAACGTAATAGTCAAACAGCTTTTTGTCCATCGTTGAACTGGTCGAATGACAAAACGAGTTTCGCAAGAGTCGCAGCTGATCAATCGCGAAAGCAAATGTTTCCGCTTTGTTTCCACTCGGACTTACCACAGAGGTGTGGAAACTTCCATGAGTTATACGGCGAGGCTTTACGTACAACTCACTAAGAGTTGTAAGTTTACCTTTGCTGTCTGGTAAAGCGAACGTTTGCGCGTAGATAGTGGCTTGAAACAGCGCGGTGCAATCCCACTCCTCGTAGGACTTGTCTGTGGGAACTTTAGTTGTGCCTCCCTCTTTGGTCAGAAATGAATCTCTCACACCTTCCGAGTCATCCCAGTTCGATCCTGGTCCGACATTTTCCCACATGTATTTGAATGTCTGGCGTAGAGCTTTAGGGAATTCATCGACGACAAGGGTTGAAAACTTGAAGAAGTTCAACTGCTCATCTGTAAACGACTTAACAACCATTTCTCACGCTAATGGCGTCGAATATGCGGTGTAGAGCGTTAGGGAAATGGTCGACGACAGTGGTTGTACACTTGAAGAAGTTCAGTTGCTCATCGGTATAAAACGACGTACTGACAAACATTGCTGATGCTTATGGCACACTCTCCCCCTTACATGGGGAAGGGTTCCCGCAGGTAAAATGGATGAATTTGTTGCAATTGGGTTTAAATCTGCTACCTGTAAAATAATAAATGCAGGTAATCAGTCATCAGTTGTGTTTTGTAGTATGATGGACAATTAAAATGTCGGTGACTTTTAATTATTAATATTTATTTGAGATTTTTATTCTGTTGAAGGAATGAACAGATTCTTTGTTCAGTTCGAAGCGTTTGTCTATATGAATCCACTTCATTCTAGAATTCCTGAAGTGTACTTTGCAACCGACGACGGAAGACGTCATCTCTCTAAGCTACTGGGGCCCGCCATGGGGCAAAACCCCTTAACTTGGGATAGCAGCTTGAAAAAACAACACTGCGCAGTCTCTCTCCTCGTAGGACTAATATTTGTGGGAATCCCATCCTTCCTTCCTCACTGAATGTCTAATTTCTGTGGATCGCTGATCCCCCGCTCCAAATTCCCAACATGTGTTTGAAATTATGGCGCAGGGCCTTAGGGAATTGACCGAACACAACGGTTGCAAACTTGAAGTTGAACTGCTCAGCTATATGCCCTATCAACAGTACTTCTCCAACTCTAATGATCACTGTAGCTGTCTAATCTTCTATTTTTGCTTTCCTTCAGCATTTGCAAACCATACGTCCGCGTATTGCCTCTCATGGCATTTTTTCATATTTCTTTGAAGACGCAGTGAACTAAGTACCTTAAGTACTAACTAAGTACCTTACGGGATTGTCGCGTGCACTTTTTCCGACAACCTTTCTCGAAATAGCTGTATACAACTCTGTAGTTTGTACGTCGGTTCGGCTAAAAGGAACCCTTCGTTATAATGCACAATGTTGTTGTACCACGATTGGGACCTGAGTTAAATCAGGGACACCCAACGTCAATTTTGGGAAAATATCTGTTCGGAAGACGATTTGAGATCCTAGAATTTTGGAACATTTGTTGTAAAATTTCTTCCTTGCCTGCCTCGCTAGGATTTTCGAACATCTGAAAAATGATATAATTGCCCATTTTTAACGGATTTTCACCCTAAAATGGTCTCCTAGAATTTTCGAGAGCCTTTTTTCTGGCTGAAATTTTCGAAAAGGTAAGTTTTGATCCCTATCATTTTCGGATCACTTGACTTTCAGCAGCGAATCCGAACAGACGAATAATTTTTAGTGGATAAAAATACTAAAATACGTTCAACAATGCTATGTTTAAGGGGTTTTGAACTATATTCTCGATGGGTGCCATTGTCAGATGTGTTTTCACCCAGTGAAGTTGTAGTTGCAGCACTTCAAAATATCGAATTGCTCCGAACTTTGGGATTTATAAAGGGAAATATTTGGGTAAACTAATAAACTCTTCTGGCCGATTCTATCTCGTGAATGCTGTCGCTACTCACTGTGAATAGCAAACAAGTACTAGAATACCCAAATAAAAAAGGATCGAAAATGTAGATTGACCAACTCTTCTAAAGGAACATATCCGTGAGGAAACAGTCGATTATATCGACACCTCAGGAAAAAATAATTATGATAATAATAATAAACTACCTGCAAAAACAACCGCGTATATTCAATCAGTACCTTCAATGCTCAGAGAAATTAGACTCAGTAGGTAAGCACAATCAGTCTTTACGGGCGGCCGAACTGATCAGAAGAGAATGATTGGATCGAAAACTAAAAGTTGAACTTAATTGTGTTGGTGGTTGTAACTTTCTATTTTCACTCTGTCACTCAATGTCTTTTCAGTCTAACACATTCAATTCTTCTCCTTATCTGACAACTTTTGATTAACGAAATATACTCTCCACCAATAAGAACACACCTTACGAGAGCTGCTACATGACTCCCAAAAAACTGATGAATCAAAGGCAATACTTTTGTCTCCAGCGAAATCCGGAGAGTGAAGGATAATTTGCATATGTCATATGTGTATAGGTTCGATTACCAGCAGCTGTTCGGAAAGAAATCGAGTCGTATAGATTGAAGCGAAACTAATCACGCATTGCCATTGCTTTAAAGGAAAGGCGTTTCTTTTTCTTTGCAATTTCTTTTTTACAGTATAACTAGAGTAAATTCAAATGAAAGTGTCATTGTCTCATAATGTAACTGAATAATGAAAAAGAAGAAATCAAGAGCCATAACTAAACCGCATTACGTTGAAAAGAAGGAAAATTTGCATAAAACAACCTTGAGGCCCTTGATCGAAATTCAAAACCTTCCAAAAAATGGTTTTCTTACATTTCTTTACATTCTACCTACTCTAATCCTTAAACGTACTCTTTCTAAATGATTTGCAAGGTAATTGAATTTAGGCTCTAACAAAAAGGAGAAAAGCGTGAAAACGCCCCCCATACTTCTCGTTTAAAAAGCGCTCACAAAGCAGAACCCGCAAAAATTTCGTGCCACACGGTATATGCGCCAGAAAAATATAGCACAGTTGTCTTGAAGAGATAATATACAATAGAGTGAACCTTTACAAGGGAAACCAAACCCCCCGACAGTGATCTTCGTCAGCGAAGGATACCTGTCTTTCCAATTAGCCGTTTGGAGCTCAGTACCAAGTTCCGATCCGTAAAAAGGTCTGAATAATTAATATGTCGACATTAAATTTTTGCATATAAAACTTTGTAGTTTGTACTTCTCTTCGGCTAAAAGGGAACCCTTCGTTATAATGCACAATGTTGTTGTACCACGACTGGGACCTGAGTTAAATCAGGGGCACTCAACGTCAATTTTCGGAAAATATCTGTTCGGAAGACGATTTGAGATCCTAGAATTTTTCGGAACATTTGTTGTAAAATTTCCTCCTTGCTTGTCTCGCTAGGATTTTGGAACATCTAAAAAATGGTATAATTGTCCATTTTTTAAGGATTTTTACCCTAAAAAGGTCATCTAGAATTTTCGGGAGCCTTTTTTCTGGCTGAAATTTTCGAAAAGGTAAGTTTTGATCCCTATCATTTTCGGATCACTAGACTTTCAGCAGCGAATCCAAACAGACGAATAATTTTCAGTGGATAAAAATATGCCTACATATCTACCGTTTAAATACTAAAATACGTTCAACAATGCTATGTTTAAGGGGTTTTAAACAATATTCTCGATGGGTGCCCCTGTTAAATGTGTTTTCACCCAGCAAAGTTGTAGTTGTAGCACTTCAAAATATCGAATTGCTCCAAACTTTGGAATTTATAAACAGGGGCAGCCGACGAGAATATAGTTATAAACTTAAACATATCATTGTTGAACGTATGTTAGTATTTAAACGGTAGACTGATATAGGCATATTTTTTCTCCTAAAAATTTTTCATCCCTTCGGATTTCCTAGCCGAAAGTCTAGTGATGCGAAAATTATAGGGATCAAACTTACCTTTTCGAAAATTCTAGCCAGAAAAAAGGCTCCCGAAAACTCTAGGTGACCTTTTTAGGGTAAAAATTCGTTAAAAATGGGCAATTATACCATTTTTTAGATGTTCGAAAATCCTAGGAGAGGCAGGCAAGCTAGAAATTTTACATCAAATGTTCCGAAAATTCTAGATCTCAAATCGTCTTCCGAACAGATATTTTCCAAAAATTGTCGTTGGGTGCCCCTGTATAAAGAGAAATATTTGGGTAAACTGATAAACTGTTCTGGCTGATTCTATCTCGTGAATGCTGTCGCTACTCACTGTGAATAGCAAACAAGTAAAGACCCAAATAAAAGAAGGATCATCGAAAATTTAGATTGACCAACTCTTCTAAAGGAACAATCGTTGCGGAAACAGTCGATTATTTCGACACCTAAGCCGAAAAAAAATAATAATAGTAACCCACCTGCAAGAACAACAGTGTATGTTCAATCAGTACCTTCAATGCTCAGAGAAATTAGACTCACTAGGTAAGCACATTCAGTCTTCAAGGGCGGCCGAACTGAAGAGATTGATTGGGTCGAAACTAAAAGTTGAATATAATTAGTGTCCAGGCCTGATTATTGTCGGTTCGTGAAGGAAGAGAAACAGGGTAAATCCCTCGGTCGTAAATGTCAATTTTCTGTCAATCAATTGAATGTACACCTAATAATTGTGGAGTATTTCAGTGTGGGTGAAACATCTTTTAGTTGTGAAGACAATAGAAGAACAGTCGTATAATATTCAAAATTACTTAATAACTATTAAAGAAGCCGAAAAAACTACTGAATGAAAGGCAATACATTTGTCTCCAGCGAAATCCCGGGAATGAAGAATAATTTCCATATGTTATACGTGTATAGGCTCGATTACCAGCAGCTGTTCGGGAGCTTGGAATCGAGAATTGAATAATGTACTAAATGTATAGATTGAAGCGATTCTAAGCACGCATTGACATTGTTTTAAAGGAAAGGCGTTTCTTTTTCTTTGCAGTTTCCCTTTTATAATTACATATAACTAGAGTAAATTCAAATGAAAGTGTCATTGTTTCATAATGTTACTGAAAAATGAAAAAGAACAAATCAAGAGCTATAACTAGTAAACAGGAACCGTTGAAGGGAAGAAAAAATTTGCACAAAACAACCTTAAGGTCCTTAAGCAAAATTTTAAAACTTCCAAAAAAATGGTTTTCTTACATTTCTTTACATTCTACCTGCTCTAATCCTTAAACTAATTCTTTTGGTCAAAATGATTTACAAGTTGAAACTGAGGTCGTGCGGAACGAAATCAAAACATGTTCATCATTGCTTAAGCTTACATATGCGTTTTATCAATGTCTACACAAGATTTTAACCTTGTCATGTAGCTTCATGTGCGACCGGAACACAAACCAAAAAAAATTGGTCAGTGCCAATTTTGGGGGGGCTAATCGGACCGACCGAAAACAAATCGCTTAAGTGCGACCCCCCTCCCCGCTTAAAGACCATACAAAGAATTCAGGGCTTAAATCAGAGTGCGAGGATATTTTTCATCAGAGTTTTCTCTGGTTACGGTTACGCCATGACGAGCCCCAAAAAGGTCGAAACAGCTGTCTATGGCTACAATCCCGCTCTGTTTTGAGTTCTTTCGGTGTCGTGTTGATGTCTTGCAAAGTTAATTTTCACGTAGTACGATCAGCATTGAAGTATTCTGCTTGCAGAATTTATGTCTACTTGTTATTTTTGCTGATCAGGTCTTTATAGATCCTACGTTCGGTATATTCGTTTGCGGTCCTTTGCAGTCCTTTGTGGTTAATGTTTTTAATAATAGGTCACGTGGCAATTAATGACTCCAATCGCCATCATTTAAAGTTTTTGAACTTATACCCAGGAAGTCTGTCCTTAAGTTATTTTGGGCTTTATTGAAAGCTTAAAAAGTTAGGCCAACACCCTGTTTTTTAAGGTGAATTAAATAAAAGACCCATGCCTTAATTTTGAATTTTCTTGAGAAGAAGCCGATTACCCTGGTTTGTGGACTCCGGATTCCAATGATTTTCAGTCGGCAGTCTGCCTTATTTCTATGGGGGTATCGTATGTATTCATCGACGCAGTTGTATGGCAGGGCAGTAAATCCGAGAGATTCGACCTTTTTTACTTGACTCAGATTGACTTACTGACTGGTTTACATTTAATTCTCCACCTATAGGCACGCCAAAGGCTCAGTGATAAATTGTATTTGTATGTAAAACCAGTATTACAAACAGGAAAATTAATATCTCGGATTCTCAAGAACACCAGAGATTCTGTTTGGGAAATAGATGGCGGAAATAGAATGGTACTAAAAAAACAATCGTAGTAGATCCACCATGACTCAGAAATCGAGAATCACACGATTGGGTTAATGTTTTTCAGTTGAATTGCAAGATTTAGAGGGACAAGAAAAATTATAGCGTATTTTTCTATCTTTAGAGCTGTGTAGGGTCTGATAAAATAATGACGGAGTCCTTTCATTTAGTTACCAAGGAGTTAACGAAACAGTGTGTGTCAATGTGCGCACCTAGAAACTGCTGGTATATATTTTGCTTGAGGCAAAAGTGATGAAGTATATGAGCCAATGATGCATGCTTTAATCGACTTCGCCATGAATGAAAAATGGCAGGTTACTTAAAATTGTACGTGGAAGGAATGGCCAAATTTTCAAACAAAATGAAGGGAAAGCCACACATTAAATAAGCCTAGCAGTGTGACAGGGTATCGGAGGTCAGAACAAACTCAAAATTACGCAGCCTTAATAACTGTACAAAATGTTTTATTTCACTGTTTTTTTCAAGGACTCACATGTAAATAGGGTGGTCCTCAGCTACCTAATTAATGATTAGGGCCGTCGACTTAGATGGCATAAGTGCTTATCATCACCATCAGTGTTCACACTGATACCTGCTAGCGGCATCGTACGAAAAATTGTATTTTCTACATGCCCGCTAATCTTATATCATTATATGGCTGAATTATCTCATCCAGCGTCTAAATTACGAGAGAATACGACTCATGATCAGTTGAGATATTACTCTCTTGTCAGTACATTGTCGTACTGACACTGGCCATGTGAGGCCATTGTGATAGATTCTTATATAAAGCAAATACATTAATTATTATTATATAATACAAAAACTCGGTGACGGTGGAATCTAACCCCACATGAGCAAAATGACTTTGCAAGTCAAAAGTGTCACTGAAACACTGCCAAGGAAGGAAAGAAGAAAAATATTCTGAAATATCAACTTTTTAACTCATACATGCACACTCAACGTTAATCAGTTTTGAAAATCGAATTAACTGAGATTATACTAGAGCCTGATAATCCCTTGCCACGAATGCGCTTTATGCTACTGCACCGGGACCAAGGGGTGGGGGCCGGCTTTACTCGTACAACTAGGAACATTATTTATGAAAAGATACTGACACATTCAGAGTACCCTGAAGTTGGTTGGGCTTTCTGAAGTTTTTAGCCGGGGAGGGTGGGGCCTGGTTAAGAATTTTCATAACCAAAATGGGTGAAAAAGAAGCCTCAACTTGAATAAATAAATCTGGACTTATTCCCAAAACAATCCATCCAGACATATCTAGACTATTTCAACACTGATTTTTTAATATAGCTTGACCACATAGGAACAGACGTTGGTATTAAAAAGCTCAAAGAAAAGAAAGACGAGGTGAGAATTAACCCAACAATTTAGCATTGTCAAAAGTGTAAAATACTTGTAGTTGCATAGTATCCAGGGGACATTTCACATTTCTTGGGTAGCGAAGGGTGAACTCGCCCTAACCTCCTCCATCACCTGCTCTCGAATGGGTACATAAAGAGACATTTGATCTGCGGCCCGTCAATAAGTTACCTAGGGAGCTGGTTATCGGGGGTGGGGGAGTCATAATAAATTCAAAATTCTACTTTCTATCATTGTCACTCTCCAGCTATCTTATGACTTGCAAATTTCACTTTGCTCTAAGCAATAGTGCCATAAAAGTCGGCCTAATCAAATAAAAAAATGCTCTGAACTTTCAGTTGAAGTTTCAAAAGTTTGTTTTCGCGCTCCAACCTGGCGACCTCTTCCGTAGGAAAGTGAGACTCGGGTAAACTTTTAACGTCATCAATCGAGTCTGTCGCCACTCCAAGAGCTTTGAACGCATCTTTTGCGTGTTCAGTGTACTGGTCAAATGTTGTTTTATTAAGTTTTTTTGAAGTGGTCAAATGAGACAAAGAGTTTCGCAACAGTCGCAGCTGATCAATCGCCAGAGCAAACGTTTCCGCTTGATCTCCACTCGGACTCAACACAGAGGCATGGAAACGTCCACTAGGCATGAACCCACGGGGCTTTACGTACAACTCACCAAGAGTTTTGAGGTTACCTTTGCCGTCGGGTAAAGCGAAAGTTTGCGCGTGGATAGTGGCTTGAAACAGCGCTGTACAATCCCACTCCTCGTAGGACTTGTCTGTGGGAACTTTGGTTTTGCCTCCCTCTTTGGTCAGAAATGAATCTCTCACACCCTCTGAGTCATCCCATTTCGATCCTGGTCCGACACTTTCCCACATGTGTTTGAATGTCCTGCGTAGAGCTTTAGGGAATTCATCGACGACAAGGGTTGAAAACTTACAGAAGTTCAACTGCTCATCTGTGAACGATTTAATAACCATGTCTGATGCTGAATGATGCACCCTTCCCCTTAAACGGGGAAGGGTTCCCGCTTAGGGTGGAAGCTGGTAGATCTTCCTGATAAAATAAACGGCCTAGTTGTCAGCAGCGTAGTTGTATGAGAAATTAAGTTGGAAGGTTATAAGTAATAGTTGGCTTACTGTACTTATTTCCCACCCTAAAATGAAGATGATTTGAACTGCGGAATTACAAATTTTTAAATGAAGAAATTATAGGACAATTAGAGAAACGATCAACGCGTTCGAAACGCGTTGTTAATTATAACAATTTATGAAGCAATCGAAAATAAACTCTGAAATAATTTCGGGGCTTCAACGTCTTCAACGTGATTCGATTCAAAACCATTGCCTCACGCTCTTGCGCTATGATCTACCAACTGAGCGCTATGAAAATAATTGAGAGCAGGCCAAGACATCAACAGAGGTAGAAAACGTGTAGATCTTTAAATAATCGTCTGTTTCTGAACAAAACTCTCCTAGAATCGAAAGAATCGGTGAGCGCAATTTAGAGACAACAATAACTCCCAAAACCTAAACTATAGCCGGGCTCTTTCTGTAGACAACAGACATCCATGGACCTCATCATCTTCAGACACAAACCTTGGAAACAAACAACAGTTAACTAACCCTGTGCAAGGACAATCGCAACTGCATGGCTATCTAAGAAAATAGAATGAAAATAAGCTAACTTACACAGAAGTTAAGAAGCTCAAGCACCTTCAATCTCTGTTCGCTGTACGCATCACGGGAGCAGAGCCAACAGTGAATTTCATCGAAAACAAGTCAGTCTTTTGTGTAACGCGGGTTGTGCAGTGAAAGTGAAACCGGGAAAACCCCCCACTTTAATTACAAGAACAATAGTAGCCGACACGGGAAAAAACCCTAATCAATATACTTAGTGAGGCGAGAATTATGATTGGTCGTTAAAAAAGGGTGAAACCCCTTGTTTACTTTCAGAATTTCTAGAACACTGGTAATTAAATTTGAATACTAGACAAAAAATGGTGAACGAGCAGGAACGGGAATCAAGAGGCACGATTTTTTGCTTAAAGCAGGATGAACCCCTTATTAACTATTGTAAGTTCTTGAATACTAGTGTCCACTGTTTTAAAAAGCATCACATCCATCGTCGTTTTCGCTAACTGCATTCATGCGACGTGAAAAGCAAGCAAAACCTATTGTTCTATATTTTAGCTGTAAAACATTCCAAGAATTTGAAAGTAAAACCAGGCGGGAAAACCCCTTTCGGTCAAATGCTCTCGGCGTGTTGTGATCACAAAACCTTGAAATTTAATGATTTCCATAAATACTGCTTTGACTTTCTTACAGCGTCCTTTTCTTTCCATTCTAGCCATTGTAACATCTCTGTTTTTGAAACAAGAACGTCAAAATTGAAGGAAGCTCTCGGACCTCGTCACCATGGCTTTTGAAGGAGAACGACAGGACCCTGAGGAAGTTTGGGGACGAGGTTTCGCCTTGCGGGCTAACAGATCAGCGGTTTCACTACTAAAAACGCGTGAGATCCAACATGGTGGACGAACTAGCATAAAAAATCAATTTCACTTAAGTTTTCTTTTGAGTGTTTGGGTAGTTGAGTCGACATAATGAAATCGAGATTTACGACCGTTGATATTTGTGCGATAATAACAGAACTAAGAGAAAGGTGAGCTGAGTAGGAAAAACATGTCTTTCTTCCGATCTATTTAAGCTTATAGAGTTAGTGTAAGCTTAATTTTGTCTTACTCAACTGATGTTTCTGTAGCCTCCTTGGAATGAGAGTGGCCAATGTGTATGACATAGATAACAAGACCTACCTCATCAGATTAGGAAAGTAAGTTCTCTGTAATTAATATGTAGTTTATGCAGCAGTCAATTTCAACTTTAAACAAGTCTTTCAGAACAACTGTAGTTACAGAACTATTAAGGCATAGTTAGTCGAGGGAACCCTCTACTAACTATGATTCAAGTGAACAGAGATGCCAACATCAGGAAATCTAAAAACTATAAACTCTCTCTTTTTCATTACCCCCCCCCCCCCCCCCCCCCCCCCCCCTTTTGATGCCCAATTAAATTTAAATTTAAACAAAGTTATCAAAAACACTGTAGGTCAAAAAATAATTAGGGATAGGTAAGCGAGGGAAACCCCCAATAAACAAGATTTAAAGGCACACAGATGCCAACAATAGGAAATCTAAAAACTATAAACCCTCTCTTTTTCACTTCCCCCCCCCCCCCCCCCCCCATGCCTCTATTGGCAAAACAAAATATGCAAGCTAAAGAGGTCTATTTCTAGCATCCTTATTGTTTGAACCAATTGGGTACCGTAGAGGATAACTAACTATAAAAATGCTTTCAACCCCTGTAGGACTGACACAAAAGTCATGTTATTGATTGAATCTGGTAACAGGATTAATACAACGGACTTTGAGTGGCCAAAAAATATGATGCCATCTGGATTTTCAATGAAGGTAAAATGTGGCAGAATATCCCTTGTACAGTTAACACCCACACAATAAAGTGTGTTCAGTTTAGTTTGACTGATACTATAAACTACATGCATATTTTTTAATAAAGAAACACTGACTTAATGAAACATGTAAAAAAATATGTTTGTAATGAAATATGAAATTCAAACTCATTTCCAAACTTCATCAAGTGATGAGATTGATTTACTGAGCTGGGCTTATTAGCTTTGCAAATCAATGCTGTCACCTGATGAATACTAGCAGTAGGAATTTGAAAAATTCTTATTCAAAAACAAAGTGAAAAACAATGAATAAGCCTACCATACGCATGAATACATCTAGTATCAGTCATTAGACAACAAAACTTTCCAAACCAGTCTCCAAGGCTTAACTTCCTGAATATCTACCTGTCTGCACAGCTTTCTTATTCTATGATTTTTTTTTCAGTGCCGCAAGCATATCCGTTCTCGTCGCCTTGTGAACATTACTCAGCTGGGTGTTGATCGGATTGTTGATTTACAGTTTGGTTCAGATGAAGCTGCCTATCATTTGATTGTTGAACTTTATGACAGGGTAGGAATTTGCCTTAAAGCCTGTGGTATTGTATTATTTTATTCTATGTGAAGTCATTTTGATACATGCAAGTTGTTTCAATAAAAACTAATAATTATAATAAGCAGTGAAACTGCCTGACAATTTCAATCACTGAAGTATAAGTCACTTACATAGAAGTGTGTGAACAAGAAAAAACACATGGCATGAAAGTTCCTCAGTCTTTAAACCAACTACAAAAAATTGTTTACACCTTGATCAATTGCATTAACTTGAAAACAGCCGGTAAGTACTCAGTACATAAATGTCTTTGAAATAAAGAAACTCTCACGCTTCTAATCACCTTTTCTGTGCACATATGTGCATTCCAGGGAAATGTTGTGCTTACTGATTTTGAATACACCATTCTGAGCCTCCTACGAACAAGAACAGATACAGAGGATGTAAGATTTGCAGTGCGTGAAAAATATCCAATTCATTCTGCTAGACAAAGAGAACCAATGATGAATCAAGAAAGGTACAGTACAATAAGATTGACAGCTAAATTTTAGCACCATGTCATTCAAGACCCTCCTGTATTTCAATATATAATTCAACAAACTTTTGTTTTACATTGTCTTCCTTGATCTTTATCAAGGCCCTGAGTTCATTAATTTTATAAAACAACTTTTTATGAAGTTGACCAGCTTGACGTCGGTACACAAACTTTTCTGTCCTTGCCAATAAGTAACCTGGGATCAGTCATTAGACTTCTTTAGCTATTCTAAGAACCACTGATCACAGGTTAGCTGATAAGTGGATATACACTGTATGTGTAACAGTTAAATGTTTTTTATTGGCTACAAGATTATAATATATATTATTTCATTTTCATGTTGTTCCTTGATTATTTCTCATTCAATGCAATAATAATTATCATTAGTTTTATCAATAATTTTTTTATGATTTTAGACTTGGTGAAATATTAGCAGAGTGTAAGGAAGGCACTGAGTTAAAGAAGATTTTAAATCCTCATTTTGGTAAGTAAAATATCAAGGTGTAAAATAATGAAAATGTAGGTTAAAAAATGTTAATGTGAATTTAATTTTGACCTGTAACATCTCTTCATGTGATAGTTGTTACAATGTGTCAATCAAACTTCAATTAAGCTTATGGCAGGTACAGTGTATCATGTTTGTTCATTAACAATTGTAGAGTTGATTAAAGTGAATTCAGTACTGAGCTTATGTGGAGTTAGATCTCTGTTCAAGCTTGGCACATATTGAATAAATAGTAAATTGACATAATAATAATACTAATAATTAAATAAAAAACTAATAACAATTCAATTGTTTGTCTCTTCTTGAATTCACAGTTTATGGTGCTGCTCTCATAGAGCATTGTCTCATAGAAGAAGGATTCCCTGGAAATGTGAAGACTGGAGCCGAATTTGACATTGACCATGGTACTGCAACTTCACTATTAGTATCTAATTTACTATTTGTGATTCTTACTGGTTAATATAATTCTATTTGTAACAATTTTTATGATTGTGACCTTAGTCTTGCAAAAGTTCTATTATACATATACATTAACTTGTTTCATGTCATTACATGACTTTGAAAGTTTTTGTCACTTTTACTTTGGAAACNTTCATGTGATAGTTGTTACAATGTGTCAATCAAACTTCAATTAAGCTTATGGCAGGTACAGTGTATCATGTTTGTTCATTAACAATTGTAGAGTTGATTAAAGTGAATTCAGTACTGAGCTTATGTGGAGTTAGATCTCTGTTCAAGCTTGGCACATATTGAATAAATAGTAAATTGACATAATAATAATACTAATAATTAAATAAAAAACTAATAACAATTCAATTGTTTGTCTCTTCTTGAATTCACAGTTTATGGTGCTGCTCTCATAGAGCATTGTCTCATAGAAGAAGGATTCCCTGGAAATGTGAAGACTGGAGCCGAATTTGACATT